TATTATGTAAGAAATATACTTTTAAAAAGTTTTTGAATGGTGGCGTGTGTTTTACATTTTAATCAACTGATAATTTTAACTGCCTTTGTACCTAATCTTTGTCATCCAATCACATAATTTTTGTTTAGTCAAAGAAAGTAAAATTTACAAAACGAGATTTGTATATTGTTCCTGAAATATCAAACAGCTTCAGGTGTTACCAAAGAAAGCATTTCTTCTTCCAAGGAATGTTGGCTCAACAGACCTAACTTACACCAACTGAATTTGATGACTGTGCCATGTCTGAATAATTTCCTTTATGTACTTCTAAAATGCCATTTTCTGTGCTGACTTTTAATTTATGATGGTACGTAATTTGATGAAAGAATAATTTCATGTGAGACGGTAACTTCTGTTTTGCATTAAGCCATTAATTTGGTCACCTAGGAGAGTGTACTTAAACTCACCCAGATAGTAACTACCACTACTACTCTGGTGATAAAAAGTGCGAACATTATATTGCTTGTTATTATTTTTTTCTTTTTTAAAAATAAAACTTTTACAAAACAAGTAACCTTAGTCATCAATTATAGGTTCAGGTCTTCTCTTCACTCCTTGAAGGCTCCCTTACCTTAGCTACCTCTATAAGTTGAGTAGCCAAAAGCTGAGAGTAACAGAGGTATATGATAATGTTCAAGTGGTGCATGCACATCAAATGCTATCTGAGAGGCAAAATAAAGGTTAACATTAATATTTTGTGCATAAATTTAACGAAGAATTTCAAAGAATACCTCAACTTACCTCAACAAATGGATACAGAGTTTCCTTACGATCGAGTTGAAAATAGCGATCTGTGTCAAAATGAAGCTTGTAACGACCTGCTACAAATTCTTCTCTTTGAATCAAGTTACTGCATCGTCCATCTTGATTAGTGGCACTGTAAATAAAAAAGCAACAAACCAGTTAACACATTCGAATTAAAAAGATACACCTTCAACATATTCTACAACATGTAGTTGAAAGGTAAAAACTATTTACCTCTCATTCACAAGAGTCCATCTGCTGTCAACCAGTCTATACAAACTGACTGGTAATTGCCCTACAGGCTGACCTTTAGATGTATCCAAGACATGGGTTGATAGAGGTAAATTAGAGGAGTGGGCCATGTTCTGGAAAAGATGGATAAAACATGAGTTTAGAGGGCCAAAATTCTATAGCTAATAACCAATCATACAAGGCTCCCAAGTATACATAAATTATTCATAGAAAACATATCAATTTGTTTCATTAAAATGTCACTTAACAGTATAGCATAAAAGTATCACTAGATGCCAAAAATTATTCATGAGAAATAATAGAAAGAGGTTTTTTATGATTTCAAATAGCACTTTTCTAGGACCTTTGGAGCAGTAAGCGGTGTAAGATGCCGCTGCACAACATCAATGCGATTAACAGTTACCATGATTAAACACAGATTCCCCCACTATGAAAGCAAAACCCCTCACGCCTGTTCCTCACCAATACAAAGTTCAAAGGTCCCGAGGTTATCTTCAATAGCATATCACTTCCCATTTAGATGAAAAGTTACACAGTCAATAAAGTGACAGAGAGTTAAAAAGTCAAAAGACAAGTGCAAATATATATTCACAAAAACAAATGTAGAAAATTTGGTTAAATAAGAGATATGTTTATTTTACCTTCTCCTTTTTCATAGGGGGGGCTATGGTCACAGGCTGTGGCACGGGTTCATCAAGCTGTACAGATTGAACCGTGTTTAGACCAAGATCATCATCATCATCATCAGTTATCTGTAACATACAATTCAAATTATGATTGCAAGAAATTGTCAGTTTTCTCAAAATATTGACATTTGGATCAGTACCAGAGTACTGCTTTCACTTCTTGTAATATTCTGTCCTAGTTGTAATCCAATGGCATCATCTGAAACATCCTGAATAATTGTCACAGTCATACTACTTGGAAGAGATTGCTGGACTTTGACAGGATGCAGGTTAAGTTTAATGCTCTCTGTTGGGATGTGAATTTCCGGCTGTGTCGAAGAGTGAGCAATCGATACGTCATTGTGTAACAGCCCATTATTCTGGCAAAATAAGAAAGAAATTTATTGAATGGAAAGAAAAATGAAAACCTTAATTTAAATAATGCTGAAGCTAGAATTTGTACCTTAAGTAATGCTCTCTGAGAAGCCCTTTGATGTTTTAAGGTGCAGGTATGTTTAAGCAAACTGAGGCGGTGAGCAAATAAAGAAACCTGACAGTATGAGCAATAGGCTCGGTTGGGTAGCCCTTCCACCTCTTTCAGCCACCCTGTAATAAAAATTAAAGCAAACAATTGACCATGAGATGTATGGCAATAATCACCCTCAAATTGATATACATAGTTCAGAGAAAGTGAGGTTAACATAAACTGTAAAAATCGACTCCATTAGAAACTATGCATGACACTGACTTAAGACTTGTGAGAAACTATACCTTTGAAATCCGGCAAATTTTCCCACGCCTTTCGGTAAGATTGTTTATGGTATTTCCCTTGAAAAGAAGCCTTTTCGTAGTCATCCAATTCAAGTTCCTGGTTTGCATCTGACATAGCTTGTTGCATTACGTTGTCCGAAAGTTCACTTATTTCCTCGATTTTAAAATTCATTTCTACTCATCAATTAAAATACTCAAAATCCGATTATGGTAAAAAATTCATTAAAAATAAATAACATCAAATAGAAAACATAACCACTCAGCTTTCCTATCCTCTCCCCCCAACGATGCACCGATGGCGATGGCGATGGCAGGGGAGGGGAGAGGAAGGGGTGGGGTGTTGGAAGAGGGGAGGGGAGCGGGTGAAGCCAATAAGATTTAAGGGCCTTTCGAATTTAGACATGACATATTTAATTTGGAAAGAAACTCGGACAGATCTAAAAAAAACACAAAAACAAAAAAACAAACAACAACTTACCGCAAGTAAAAAAGTATTTAAAAAAAATAGCAGGGGTGGAAAATTAAGACATTGCATTGTTCTTCATCATTCATGGAGTTGAAATTTGAAGAATGTTACGATGAAAATGAACTCTGACACATTATTTTATACCTCTCCTACCGAATTACTACCTTTCCTGGCTTTGGGGTTTATTGCAATAAAAAAAATGACAAGGAACGGAAGTCTTAATTTACCACCCCTGAAAAACACAGATCATTGAGCTGAGACTTCACACTTTTCAGTTTCATCTTTTACTCAAATCACCACCACCTCTGCTACAACAATAGAACACTTAATGGCAAGTTTAACTGGTACATCAAATTCCTAGCAGGAGACTACCTAATTAAAATCTCAAAGTTAAAATTTTAGAGACAAAAAGAAAGAGAAAACAGGGAACAAGAAATAAAATGCTTAGAGGCGAGTAAAATTAAACAAAAGAAGCAGATCCAACAAAAACCCTCAGTGATCCATGGCACATAAACAAATAATAACAGGGTACATACGTAATTAGAATCATGTCCAAAACTAAAGATAGAAAAAGGTTCTGTTTCTATTGATTAAATAGGGATTAAGTCACAATACATGATGTTTGAGCAAAGATCATAAGAGATTCCAAACACAATGGAGAAAAAGGCAAATCAAACTTAACAGGAATACTAAACACATATTTAAGATCAATTTGCCAGGTGAAATTGAACCACACCCATAGTAGATCATTTCAAAATTGATATAAACATTTTTGAAGTGTTGAGCAAATACATACAATACAAATCTAATCAAGCAACACTATGTGACATTTTGATGTCACACATAAAATAAAGAATTATAAAATGCACCACATCAAATTTTGAATATGGTAACAAGTTAAACCTTATCACAATTGATTGGTGTGAAACAATATTTTCTGGACGGTTTTACAATCACAATTGAAATATCAATGTATATCACACAGAGTACAAATTTAAGTATGCTGTCAACAAACATGTTGCTGTTTACTAAGAATTAAGATACATAATAAGGAATATTTCACTAAGAGGTAAAAGCAGTACACAAATTTAGGGATGATTATAACACAGACAAAACTGCCTTATTATAAAATTGTTTAAAATCGTATAATGCACAGGTTGGGAGATTATTCATTAAACTAAAACTACGAATCACAGAGAAATGGACGAAGGACCCTCTAATTGAGGAAAAATTTGGCTTCAATTGAATATATGGTAGAGAACTGTAAACCTGCGGGAACATGGCCTTCTTGAGCATAACCAGACAGGTACACTACCTGGTGGCATTCACGATTCCAGCTGAACAGATGGACCTGCGACAGTGAACAAAATTGCCATTTACTTAAAAAAGATACCTCTATGGCGTGACGAGAGCGATTTTCGACTAGCCACATTTCAGGTTCTAAAACTGGGGAAAACGTAGCAAATTTTCAACCCAACTTTTCATGCTAAGACTTTGGCATTTTCAAAAAAATGTTAAGAATCAAGATTTTTTAAATCGCTCTCGTCACGCAATAGAGAGATCTTTCAAAAGTAAATGACAATTTTTTCACCTTTGGCAGGTCTTTCCGTTTGGCCGAAATCGTGCACGCCACCAAGTATTGGACACATCCGGTTCAAGCCGAAGAAGAGCACGTTCCCAGAGGGTTATACTGCTGCACTATTTATCAAACTGTAGTCCAATTCTTTCTCTAGATGGTCTCTCATCCATTTCCCTACGATTTGTAGTTTTTGTTTAATAAATAAACTCCCAAACCCTTGCGATTCACAGGTTTGCCCCCTTAAGAGATTGATTGGACCGAAGGGGGAGTGCGGTCAATAATGCCGATGCCAAGTGGTAACCCTGCTGGCTCAGGCCTCCCCTGGTCAACCTAGAAGAAAAGTGTTAAAAAACAATGCCAGCCCCCTGTGCTTGCGCAATTGAGTCGACACAAGTGAAGTCGCCTCATACAGGTTCTCAAGATTTTGATTGGCGATTGGATGAGGACTGGACTACGTATCATGAGAGGAAATTGAAAACAAATTGAGATGGAATGTGGAATATAAAATATGTGTCTTTGAGTCACTCACACTATGAGTTATGATGATAGAGAAAGCAAAATTCTCTTGACACTCAATGGAAATCAATGTTTTCTATAAAGTTTCATGCACATAGAATTAAACAAAAAACATAATCTAAAAAAAGTTTGGCACAGTAGAAATGAAATACGCAATATTTATCTATCTTGGAAAGCATACTTGGATCAAACAAAGCCCCGCTCATTTTGGGGATGAGATGGCCTCCGAACAGAGTACAACTCGCGAATTAGTGATGCTTTTTCTCGTTCAAGAGTGGTGATCCGGTCACTCTTCTTGTTAATTTCCTGAAAAAGAAATGAAGAGTAAGTTATATCCCTCAAGCACACACCTTCCAGGATTCAGATAGGCAAAAAAGCGGAGTTTATTCAAAATAGTATAATTACCTCAGTGAGAATTAAGTTTTGATGTCGAAATCTCTGAGCTGCTGCGGCTTGATGTTGTAATTGCTGAGCTCCAGGAGACCCATGAACAGCTAGATTTAACTGCAGTGCAAATCCTCCACGTTCACCTCCATCGGTCAAGGCAGCAAGATGTCGATTTACTTCTAAAACTCGAGCCCGTTGTAACTGAATTCGTTCCTGCTGTGTCTCACTCCATGGTTCCTAAAATAATTGCATGCATTTTATCAAAACAATGGAAAGGAAAAAAAAGAGTTTAAATATTGAGTTTATCTTCATACCATGTGAGATCCCATTCTACCCAAGTATTTCATTTTCTCTGTGACTGCGGCAATTTGCTTCAGATACCATTCACGAGCTTGTTCAACTGATTTCATCCCTTCAAGTAACACTTCTTTTTCTTGTTCCATTTGTTTCATTCGCTTAAGCTGCAACACAGAAACATGTCTGTTAAAAGATATTTAAATAAAAATACACCTAGATTGCAAAACTCTTCTAAAGGATCATTACCATATTGTAATCGATGCCATTCTGCAGAGTATGACGACGGGGTTCACGGCGACGACCAGAGCTTCTTTTCTGAGCGGCACTCACAGAGCTGGTACTTTCAGCCTCACCTTGAGAATGAAGGGAACATGAGAAAAAAATGTACTGAAAAGAGCTAAAAAATAAAAACAATAATAGGAACAAAGATTTCTTTATTTTTTCCAACATACCTTTAGCTGGGGCTGGAATAATATTTGCATTCATAGATGCTGGTTTACCATCTCCAGATCCACGGTTGTTCCATGTTGGTTGAGCAGCTCGTAGTTGCCAGCACTGTAATGCAGATCTAATTTCAGCTTTGTCTAGTGCCCCTCTTTCCACAGCAGAGCGATCTCCTCCACTGCGATCAAGTCCTGAAAAGCTAAAATAAGAGAAGAAAGAGTTAAACTACCAGCTGAACAATATCACGAAATATATCACGGCACTTTGATTCATAGTCATCAAGTACCTTTCTCGTGAGGCAAGGAGACCAGCTGCTGTTCTGGGAGGTTTTGGTGGGCCAAACAAGGGCCCTTTACTTGTACCAGCTGTTGGGTTTGCACCTGGCACTGATGTAATTGTATCTGATGGCAACTGAACATAGTTCCGCAAATCCGTCTCTGCTAAGCAGAAATATGTTAAAAAACCATTATTAAAGATTACACAGGATGACTAAAGTAAATTACAAACCCCTGGTGTCTTGAGACAATTGCGGCATACTAGCAGCTCGATGTTGCGGTCCAGAAATATTATTTGAAGTCCAAACAGGAAAAACAGGAGGTGGGCTTGAGTCAAGATCTAGCAATGGTGCAGATGGAGGTCGTATTGGTTGAACTATTAAAACACACAATACAGTTATTTTTCAAAACTAATCATAAGTACACATACTTAAGTTTAGATAGTTTGAACATGTACCTCCACCATCAGATGACTTGTTGCGTCCTGTTTCAGCTTGATTTCGTAGCAAACATATTTTGAGACCAGCACAAAATCGTTCAAAGGACAAGAGGCCATTGGGAGGAGTAACCTTCTGAAGACTATCCAGAACTCCCTTTGGTAATCCTTTTGATCCATCATCATGCCATCGATTTTCAATGTCTGAGAATGGGTATAAGATATGAGCAGGATTAATGCGTGTTTCATTTAACAGACAACTTTGGTTTGATACTTAGCTATCAAGTGTGAATTGGAAAGATACCTTCAAAACTGACGTAGCCGATTTGCTTGTCATCCATAATATCAAACAATGTCCTCATGGCAGCTACAAACTTTTTGGGCAAACCATCCAGTGTAGTGGTCGGGGGAGACATGCTAGAAGACTGGTAAGCAAAGGGAAAGAGAAAATCAGTTTATAAGGTTCCAGGAAGAGACCAGCACAAAAAATAAACCCATTTCCAGTATTTCTATTCTATGAAAGGAGGGGGGGTAAAACTATATAAACCTGTTTGTTTACTGAGACATATTTATCACCAATAATTAGTAAACTACAGAAAAATGCAGGACATCCCCTTGACGAAGGTACTACCACATACACAAATTGTTAGATACAACTGCGGTATACATTTAGAAAAATTAAAAAATGATAAATTTTAAATTGGTAAACATACTTGGGTAGGACCCGTTACAAATACAAACAGAACGTTTGGTTAGAGTGATACCCTACATCATTTGTAACTTAGCAATAATGGTTATTATTTGATTTTGTGGAGGGATGAGGGTAGTTCCTAGCGTCAAGGTTGCACTATAAATCAAATTGTCCGACAAAACTTGAGACTACAGTCGAGGAAACCTGTTGATTCCGTGTAATAACAACTAACCATATTTTCTTTCATTTCAAATTTCAATTGCAATTTCAATCTAGTACGCTCTGCGCTGACTGAAGATCTAACGGACAGTGCAAGTGGATCACGAAACAAACTTCGACTTCGACGTCAACGCCATCTCTTGAGTGGAAAAAGAACGAGAACAACGTCATGGGGTATCGCCATCGGCCTTGTCTGCTGGAGGTGAAAAGAGGTGTATTTATTTGGGGAACGTCAACCAGAATTGTACTTAGATTTAGGTCACATCTGATAAAATCAGACACTTCTTTTACCACGCTTATCTGAAGAAAATCAAATGGTAAATGACGAGGTACTTTCGTACAAGGTGTTTTCGTCGTAGTTGTAAACAAACACGTAGTTTCAAATCTCAATACCAGGTGGCGCTTGCTTTGACTCCACGCTTCGAAGTTTCGTCTGTTCTGTCGTTCTGTTTGTTGACTTGGACTTGGGTTTGATACTTGATCTTGATCTTTTAACCTCGACGTCGTTGTCGGGAATACACTTCGTATTATCTCGGGGCTTTCGGATTTTTCGTCAATCTATAACGTGAGGATAAAACCATTTCATTCATACTTCTTTTGACCCTAGTGGCACTATTTAAATCACTTATCCTTGCGAAATCTTCACTCATAATTATTTATCAGCTGATCTTCTTGATGAACTTTGGTTTACTTTATTCAGGAGGCCTGATCTCCACTCGACACGATCCCCGTACTGAGCAGCCCGATTACCTGGCGAGTTGACGGCTGTTACTCAGAGATAATATTGTTTTCTGCAACTTTTGTGTTCCTCTTGTCCAAAAATGAGTGAGCGAATCAATTTGGATCTTCCTCGCTATGATCAATCTACTTACTGGGGAAGAGCTAAACATTTCTTCACGGTGACAAACCCTCTCAATGTCCTTGCTAGTGAAAGTGAGCTTGACCAAGCAAAGGATATTTACACACGTTACAGGTAAATAATATATGTTAATATTAAGTTGTGTATGATGTCTCACATGACGTAACATTCTAATATTTCCAGGAAGGGGGAAGATATTAGCGGATTGACAGAAGATGAGCTATGGCGAGCCAAAAATCTGTATGATTCTGCTTTCCACCCAGACACGGGCGAAAAGATGCTTTTAATTGGCCGTATGTCTGCTCAAGTGCCCATGAATATGACCATTACTGGTTGTATGATGACCTTTTACAAGTGAGTGTTCTTGTTCAGATATATTTAATCTTTTAAGATCTTTATTAAATAATCATAATCTTATAATTATTATTTTTTTCAGATCAACCCCTGCTGTTTTCTTTTGGCAGTGGGTTAATCAATCATTTAATGCAGTTGTTAACTACACTAATCGTAGCGGGGACACTCCAATCACGCTACAGTAAGTGTAACTATTTTTCTTATCACACAACGCCCTCTTTCAGAGCTGCGCTGCTCAATTCAGCTTTTCCACCAATGCAGCTCAGAGGGGTGTCTGTGAGGGGGCACTGTTTAAGCTATCTATGTTTTGAGGAAATTTTAGTCAGTTTTATTCACTTTCTGTTAATTCTTTCAGAGAGAGTGGTGTGTCTTATGCATTGGCGACCAGTGGTGCTGTATTGACGGCCCTTGGACTTAATAGCTTGGCAAAGGTTTGCTATTATAATTTTTATTTCCCTTTTCTCTTTGCCCTTGTTTGCTTAGTGAACACCTCTCTTAAAAGTGTTTTATTCACAATTCTGTTAATATGTTAAGAAAAAATCTATTTTCATCTCTATTCTGTTGCATAGAAAGCTCCACCTCTAGTTGGGCGTCTGGTTCCATTTGCAGCAGTGGCAGCTGCAAATTGCATCAACATCCCGTTGATGAGACGCAGGTAAATATAGCCATTCATTTTCTTTTATGCTCAAGATATTTTGTACATTGTTTCAAGCTTTTTTGTGCTGTACAAATATGGCGAGTTTTGTGTATTCAGATGTGGCATCTCGTCAGAATCTTGACTGGTTATGGTTTTGTACATAAATTTTTTGTCTTGATCTTTTGAATTGTGTGTGTGATTCTGATCGCAAGAAGAATGTTGTTTAAAATGATCTCTCAGGGAATTGAATGACGGTGTCCCAGTTACTGATGAAAATGGGAACAAGCTCGGCAACTCAACAGAGGCTGCTAAGTCTGGCATTCTAGCTGTGCTCGTGAGCCGTGTCGGCATGGCCTCCCCTGGCATGGGTAATAATATCAATCTTGTCCTCCAGGCTGCAAAGTGCTAAAGGGATTTGGTGATTTGGTGCTCTGTTATGTCAATGGAATGGTTGCCTTACATTTTGGGGGCTGGATTCATTGTTTCGGTGTGCTGTTTTGTGATGTTTGTAGAAAAACATAGAATGAAAGCAGCGTCAGTTCTGCTCAAGAATCAAATAGAATTATGATCTTATTTAAAAAAAATATAGAGCAATTGTTTTCAAGTTTTCTGAATTGAGGTAGACAATAATAAGATTTTGCTGTATTCATTCTTTGTTAAAATTTCCCAGAAATAATGTTTTTGTCTCAAAGGGTGCTTTACATTCACTTCCTGGTTTCATGGGTTTTGCAGGGAATTAAAGGAAGGTATATCATTGGTTGACAATGATGGAAACAAAATTGGGCAGTCAGCTGTTGCAGCTCAACAAGCTATAGGCCAAGTTGTGTTCTCTCGAATTGGCATGGCTGTGCCTAGCATGGGTATGTGGCCCACACAAGTTTACAAACTGCACCTTACTTTTTTCTTATGTAAAAAAAAAAATAGTTTTCAATTTTTAATCTAGATTTTATAAAGTAGAATAGACTTCACGTTTTGCCCAGCTAGAATAGGAGTAGGGGCAAAACAGTGAGCCCATTCGGTACCTGGCAATCGGCATATGTAGCAGGTATTTTCATAGCACTCAGCGACTCAGGACACTATTGAATTTTGTAAGATTTATGGTAGATTGTTTTATTGCCATGAAGGAGAATGTGATTCTCTTGTGTGTGGGTGTCTTTATGCACTCAGCTGATGACAACACAAAGTGCTTTAAACTATTTTATTTTTTATTTATTTTTCCAGTGTAACATTGTACAATTTCAACAGGTTTGCTATTCATATGACTTTCATTTATTTGCTTTATTATTTTCAGGAATGGCTTTGGTTTGCTTACTAGGTTTTGAGGCATGCTTGAAATGACTGGAGCGGCAATCACTGCTACAGGCCAGTTTTCTGTCTGTTTTATAGTTGGAATCATTGGTAATTTATTTTTACAAATATTTTCCTCATGTTCATATATTTATTCGTATAGATGTATGGTTACTAGAATATCATTTATGTATTCATGTATGTATTCATGTCATGCTATTACATACACATTCACTTACCTCACTTTTTTTCACTATCTGCTTTTGGTCCCACCCAACTTGATGTAATGCACCAAAGGGTATAGCTGACTATTGAATTGCATATGGGAAGCCAAAAACATTTCTGCCCTCTCATTATTATAAAAAGTTAATATTCCCCTTTTTACTTTATCTAGTGCTGACTCCAGTTTTGATGAACATCTTGGACAAGCGTGGGTTTATTCGCCGCTTCCCATGGGCTAATGCACCAATCCAGACGTTGTTCTGTGGACTCTGTCTGACTTTTGCAACACCTATGTGTTGTGCTCTCTTTTCCCAGAGGGCCTCAATTGCTGTAGATCAGCTGGAACCTGAACTTCAGGTAATATTTCTGAATGATGAGTTTCTACACTGTTACTTCAGTTTTTTAAAACTTTATTTGTCTATTTTTTTACTAACCTTAATCAATTTTCTTGCACAGGACGAAATTAACAAAATGAAGACCCCACCCAAGGTTGTGTATTACAACAAAGGTCTTTAAACTTAGAGGTCATGTTCATCAACAAGAAACATGAGAATGTGGTGCAACTATGCATTTCAGTTCATATGTGGAGTGTATTTTATATCATCAAACGATGTTATGCCTTCCATTTCTTATTTAAAAATTGATATTATCGCTTCATAGTTTCAAATGAAATATTTCATTCATATTTTAAATGGGCTTTCAAACCTACCGGTGCTGGTGTAAAGAATTTTTTAAGTTGGTTTGAGATACCTAACAGAATCTATATTAACCAGGTAAGACTTAAGTAACAACCAAGATGTAACGTGCATTTATGTAACTTTTTAGTCAAAGTGTACTTATGTTATAACAAAGTCCACTTTATTGTATAAGACATCAATATCACTGTAATGTTTTAAAAGACTTTGACAATAATTATTGTATAAGATACATTAAGAGTTGTTTATTGTACTGAAGTTGTACTTATAATTCAGTAACACTGCCATCAAAAGTCTGTTTTATTTTAAAGAGAGAGTTATCATATCAAAACCTACCTTGAATCTCATTTTCTCTTGTCAACTTAGCTGACCACAGAAAATACATTATACCACATAATATACCACACTTCAAAAAGAAATAACAAAATTGCAGTGTATGGACTGATTTTTGAATTTCATGATGTTATTAGCTGTACTTTGTCAAGTACGTATTTAGATTTTATCTATTTGCCATTATTTTTGTTATGTTGTATTCATTATCATTTAAATATTCTATATCAACTTGTGGTCAATTACAAAGAGCAATATTTGATGCAAGGTCAGTTTGAATCTCTTGTGATGTTTATGCATTTAAATGTTTATTATGAATATCTAACCTTGTCTTACTTAAGTTCTAAATTTTTATTTCCTGCCAAATAGTGTATTCAATGCTGTAACAACTTTATTCAGCGACGACAATGTGCCAGACAATAATTGATGTATATCACGGCTGATGAGACATAAAATCTACTCAATGTACATGTTTGTAATTTCCCCTCCCTGGCACTTTCAATAGACGAAGCGACACTCGGGTGGGATGTTGCGTGGCCTGGCCGCCATGTAGGCTGCCTGCATCACCTCCGTCGGGGACCTCTTGACTTGGAGCGTGCCCCCCGTCTCCGGCAGGGCCACGAAGTACCCTACCAGATCGGGACGGACGAACAACTTAGTAAGTACGCACTACGCACTGTCTCTGTGCCTCGAGGTAGGAAACCCTCTCTCTGCATCGTGCAATATACTTGGACGGCTCAAGTTGTAGGAGGCCTCCCCTCCTTTTTGAGGTACCGCGGGTAGGCTTCCTCCCTTTTTCTTTTCACTTAACACGTTCCCTGCGGCTAATTTTTGGCCCCTATGATTTAACATGGGAGCGTGACCACATAGTGGTCATGCCGCAGGGAACGTGTTTATAGGCAACCCCCACGCATAACTGCCAGTAAATATGCGCAGTCGTGCTATCGGGGTTGCCTATCGCCTCCGTCCACTGCGCCTTACGAACCGAGCGAGTAGGCAAGCCATGTGCGCATGCCATGCGGTAGGGGGAGGAGGGAGAGGGGGCAGTCAGCCACCTGGCCCTGGTGCTACATCGGCATGGGAAGAGCTCGGCGGGGTGGCCGCCACCCACCTGCAGGTGGGTACCGTGGCTCACCGGGGAACCACTTGGGTGGCGTGTCGCCGCGCAGCTGCACGCAGGTGCGTGGCTGGGGCCGGGCGGGGAAGCCCGTGCCGAAGCATACGATGGGGCAGGACTCGCCCTTGTGCAGCGTGTTGTCGTTGGGCGCGCCCGCCGCCTTCAGCCCCGCCCCGGCCCGGACGCCGCCCTCCTCACCGCCCGACGCTTTCCTCGTGATCTGCAGCGGAGGGGGAAAACGGCTAGCGCGGCGTGGAGAGAAGAGTTGTCGGACAACATCGTGCTCTCCACCTCCAGGCTAGTGTTTTCGATCGGGCGGGCAAGACCGAAAATCTTTGCCCGGCCCCATCTAAAACAGCTTCGGGCGGGCATGAATTTTATACAATACCCGCCCAATCGAAAACACTGTTCCAGGCTACTCACGGCGGCCCTGGATGCGTTAGGAAAGAGGAACTTGAAGAGCTGCTCCGGGGGTGCCGTCATGCTCACGCCTTGCTCGAGGTGGTGCATCATGACGGCCACCTCCGCGGGGGACAGGTTGCTGGGCTCCTCGCCGTCTCCAAGGTAAAGGACCTGTAACCGCAACTTTGGTATCGCAATTTTCCTCGCAACTTCATAAGTTACTTCGGTTTGGTTGTACACCCACGCTGTCCCCGACGGGCATGGCGCACATGTCCCTTTGCGCGTGGTGAAGGGACTCGCTCAGCGGGAACCTGGGTGGCGGGGGCCCGAAGACGGGGCCGCCGCCAACCGAGGCGGCCAGCATGGAGGCGAGGCGGACGTCCTCGGCCTCCTCGTCCAGCAGGCGGGCCACGGAGTCGCCGTTCAACGAGTCTGGCAACCATCGAGGTTTTAGGAGAGACTCGAGGCTCTAGGGGTGGCAACCGAATGTAACACACGTAAGGAATCGTACAGAAAGTACGTCCATTTTTCTCAGATTCGGTCGACAAATTACGGAAGCTCAGCGCCTGCGAGACTCGGGTTAGGCCACACCGCAGTACACGTATGTGCCTTAGGGAAAATGTTGCCTACCTCCCAGGCGCTATGAGAGTTTGCAGAGGCTGAGCTTCTTGGCAGGTTCGTATTGGCGAATGACGGGCGCACTTTCGGGACGACCCTTATTGTCACATGTCCCTTTTCACTACCTTCAAGCAGCGGGCTGAGGCCGGGCGACCGGCTGAAATCGGAACCCAGGAACCTCGAGGAGAGGTCCGCCAGGTCGTGCGGCCTCCTGGAGCTGCTGCTCCTGCTGCTGCCACTGCTCCGCCTACGCTGCAATTGCAATTCGATACGGCCGTGACTGGTAGGTTGCCGTAGATTCCTATAGCCAACCCTATGGGTCGCCGCCCGTATAGTGTATTTCGACTAAGAAGAATAGCGGGCAGAACATAAACGTTACCGATTATTGGCCGAGAGCTTCCCGCCTCTGCGTCACGCCGGTAGTTGGGGTAAGCGCTCGGCCAATCAGGAACCTATTTGTTCTACCCCCGCTGTTCTTCTTCCTCCGTTAGTCGAAATACACTATACCGAGTGGATCAGAGGAGACAACCGCGGCGCGGCGGGTTTGTCTACTTCCAAGGCTCCTCTGCTGCGGGCCACGGACCAAGAGACAAACCCGCCACACTGAGGTTACTTTTGTGACAGTCGTTTGCGTCCCGTGTTCTCCTTCCTATGCGTGCACATGCACAGCGCGGGTCTTTGACCGGCACGCGGCACGCTATCCGCGTGAATTACGGAAGACCATAAGCTTGATTACATTAACCGCAGAGATAAGGCCGAGCGTACTCTCTCCGACGACAACCTTGTTCTCTCCCAAGCTCAGATCACACACACGGCCAGGTTCGGCGCACCTGCGAGAACTGGACGGCCCTAGCGGGGCTGGCCTGGGCCGCCTGGGCACGGCCGTCGCTCATCGTCGTGCTGAGCGACGGTGAGCCTGCTGGCGAGCGCTGCTCGGACCCGGGCCTGGTCCCCGAGCCCGCCCCCGAGCGGGGAGGGGGGCTCTTGGCCGGGGTGCTGGTCGCGCTCACGGCGCACACGTCGAACTCCCCGGCCGAGGAGCTGCTCTTGCTGCTGCGCCTGGACATGGTGCGGCCGCTGCAAGTGCGTGCCCCGGGTGCAGCTCAGTGGCCTCAGTGGCCTCTGGTCGCGTTCATTCGGTTCTCCCCCTATCCCTCTCTGTCGGACTCAGGGGTCGGGACAGGTGTCTCTGTTGCCGCCACCAGCTGCGCCAGCGCCAGCGGCTAACGCGCGGCTAGTTTGGGCCGTTTGGGCCAACACTGAGACGCGAACCGTTTTTGTGAAATGAAATGATATCCCCGGAGCTGTAATTCGACCCCCCTTGGTGTTTGTGGTGGTCGTGATCCTCGACGTCATGTTCGCGCCCGAGGCTCTCATTCATTTCTCGAAGAGGTGGAAAGCTCCGATCACCGGCGACGTCTGACACCTGAATACACACGATTAAAGAAAAAACAACTCTAGTCATTTTCGGCTCACGACCGGGTGTGTGTGTGTGTTTGTGGTGGGTGCGATTTACGAAAATACGGAAAATACCTACACCGACGATGTTCGGAACATGCCTTGCTCTCATGGTTGCTGCAATCGGGGCGGTGACGTGGCGACGTGGCTCAGGTGCAGGTGCATTCGCTCCGCGTCCGGGCCGCACTGCACGCACATTGAGCCCCACCAATCAAACTCGATCATCTAATTATCGACAGTACTTGACTTGCGACACGCGACCTCCTCACGGCGCTTGGTCGCCGAGCTCCAGACACTTTGTCGCTCTGCTCCGCACTTTGCGCCACAACCACCTCGCGCGGCGCTGCAGCAGTTGTCGCTCTGGTCATTTTTGGAGCGAGCTCGGCGGATACCGCGAGCTGAGACTGCGGGGCACTACGACGGGGCCGGGCGTGTCGGGAAGAGGCGGGCGGGGAGGGCGGGGAGGGGCGGGGCGGGGACCGGCCACAATACACGCGTGCTTTGGTGTGCGCGGGGACTGCGTTCTCGTAGACGCTCCCGTTGACGATCACCTGCCGCGCACGACACACATACACGCACACTCACACACTTTCGCACGCCGACCCCATTCGCGACGCATAGCAGCGCTATCGCGGGGGTCACGTCCGGAACGCACATCCGACCACACCGTCTTGTGGTGGCGCTACTCGGACGCAGTCCGCGGGTTGGAGGGGGAGGGGCCCTCTCCTCTGGAAACAACCAAGCAGCAGCCCAGCAGCAGCCCAGCAGCAGCCCAGCAGCCACACACGATGGATACACCTGCTGCAACGGGCAGTATGCCGGCAGGCCCGCCAGCTTGCTGCAGGCTGGGCCGGCTCGGCCGGCTCGGCCGGCTCGGCCGCGGGCTGGCCCTCCACGGCCATGCACGGCAGCGGGGACGGGCGGCGCCCGGGCGCGGGTGCCGGCCGCGGCTACCTGGCGCGGGCGCGGCGGGGGGAGGCGGTGTTGACGCAGGTGTCGGAGAGGCGTGGAGAGCCGTTAAAAGCCGCCGTCGTCTCCGAGACCCACACAGAAGCCCCCCATCACCACCACCATGCTGGCCTACGTTCTCCTCGGCCTTGCGGCCGTGTCTGCCGTCAGCGCAGGTTAGTGCCCACGTCCGGTAGACAAATTTCCCATTTACCCACAATCCACTCATTATTCGTGTATTTTGACTAACGGATGACATTTGTGTACGGTTGCAGACTGCAGTATTAACATGAACGGCGACCTGCCCAAGAGCAAGTCTCCCCTGTTCCTCGGCAGTAAGGGTTCTCTGCTGCTGCCCGAGCCCGAGGGTAAGAGCGGCGTGCTGAAGCTCTCCAGCGGCGAGGAAGTGACCCTCGCCTGCCCCGGCAACAAGAACGCGGTGAGTATGGCAGTCCCGAAGACTGTCTCCACCAGAAGGGAAAGCCCCCCCCCCCCTCCTCGCTCCTCTAGCACACGGCTGCAAGGGCGGTGCGCTACGTGGTGTTTTGTAGACATTGCTGATTATTTTCTGTTTTCTGTCAATCTCCCGAGACACGCTCTGATTCTCTTTCGCCCACCTTCCGATCCAATCGATCAAAACCGACCCGATAGCAAAGGGTCTTGACAAACGAGCGCTTAACGCTACGAACGCTTGTTCTCGGTCGAACAGCTGGCGATGAGGTTTGGGCAAACACTGGCACAAACCGCAACACATCGCAGGTGGCCGTAAAGCTCGTTTCTGCGTCTCGAGAGGCAAACCGCAAAAATCTTTTAAGTTTGACGTCTTTACCATCCTAAGTAATTCCAGCGCGCCTCCGGCCCGGCAGGGTACCCTCCTCCCCCCCCCCACCCCCATACACACACCAAATGAAACCTCTCAGAATGGTTAAGCGACACTTTACAGTTCAGTCCGCTAGTAGCGCACAGTGCGGTATGTGTTATCCCCCTTTACGTACACGCAGGGGGCTGAGAGGCACCACCCAGCCCAGGAATGCCGAATACCAAAGCAGATTACTGCTCTCCCGCGAAGCGGTGGCAGCCCCGGGCAGAACAGGAGCCGGGCTTGACATTTCCATCACCGGACTGCAACGCTGAGTGCTCTATCTCTCTGTCTTTCTCTGGCCATGTAGGTGTCCAAGGCCAAGGCGGCCGTGGTTTCCGCCACCTGCGACTCCGGCAACAAGCTGAAGGTGGGCGGCAAGGCTGTGTCCGTGTCCGACCTGGGCTGCTCCAAGACCGCCGCCTCCTCCCTCCGCGTCACCGACCAGTCCTGCGACGACGGCGGCGTCATCCTGGAGCTCGGTTTCGAGGTGGCCGACGAGTGGGTCAAGCTCGTGGACGTGTGCCACCAGATCGACGCCGGCAACACCCTGTGGGCCCACCACACCGTCCAGGGCGCCGCCCTTTCCGGCGCCGAGGTCGAGTCGAAGCGCCCCTCCTTCACGTGAGTACAGCCCCGCCCCGCCCCGCCCGTCCGGATGCGGCGGAAACCTTTGACTAACGACACGCACCCTCCCTCTTCTTTGCAGCCGTGGTGACAAGGCTCTGTACAAGGGCTACAACCCCGACAACGCCTACAAGCAGGCCAACCACAAGAAGATGCTCGAGACCGTCCTTGGCAAGAAGCAGGCCGCCAACCTCATCGGCAACACCTTCATCGCCCGCGGTCACCTCGCCCCCGACGCCGACTTCATCTTCGGCTCGTGGCAGTTCCTCACCTACTTCTACGCCAACGTGGCTCCCCAGTGGCAGTCCATCAACGCCGGCAACTGGCTCGCCACCGAGAAGAACGTGCGCAAGAAGGCGATCGAGCTCGGCCGCGACCTGACCGTGTACACCGGTACCGAGGGCGTGCTGACCATCGACAGCGACAAGGGCGTCGCCACCCCTCTGTACCTGAACGACGACAACAAGCAGATCCCCATCCCCGACAACTTCTGGAAGGTGCTGTACGACGCCAAGACCAAGCAGGGTATCGCCCTGGTCGGTTCCAACAACCCCCTGCTCGACTCCGAGAACAACCTGCTCTGCAAGAACATCTGCGAGGCCAACGGCTGGCCCACCATCCGCGACTACAGGAAGGGCCTCATCTACTGCTGCAGCGTCTCCGACTTCCAGAAGGCCGTGCCCCACGCCCCCAAGCTGTCGGTCTCCGGCGTCCTGCAGGGACCCCAGTAAAAAGGTCCTTTCTGGGACGGAGGGGAAAGGAATAAAGGCCGTGCAATTACTTTTCCTTTAATCTGCTCCAGCCCCACCCCTCGCTTTTGCCCGCTTAGTTTGTCCGTTTCGCCTCCGCGCCCCCACACCCTCTCCTCCCAACCCCACCACGACTTCAAAGAGGGACTCTTTGCTGACTTCCTCTAGATATTTGCTCTCAACGTCTGTTGTGTCACTTCTGTGAGGAGAATTTCGTCGACCTGTGATATTTTCCTTCTGCTAAACGAGAGGAAACCATTTCAAGGACAGTGGAAACCAATAAAACGGTCGAATCGGAAACGTTGTCCTTGGCCACCTGATTTTCCCTTTGCGCGTCGGTGCCCGGTTGGTGCCCGTTGGCCACCCTGGCGCAGCATGGCGGCCGCGCCGCGCTGGAGGTTGTGGCTGCGCGTGGTGGAGGGTCGCCACGTTCGCTGGCGCGGCGTCGAGTCGCGGCTGGCGGTGCGGGCGGGCCGCCTGCTGCAGACGGGCGCGCCGCGCCAGGCCGCCTCGAGCCCCTACTACGGCGAGGTGAGGGCGCGCCCGCGGAAAACACGCCTACATGATGCTGTTTAGAGGTTATGAACGCCCACACAGTCACCATTCTTTTGTTGCCGCCCAATCTAAAGGAGTTTTCGTTCGAGTTTCAAGAGCCGCTCGAGCAGCTATTAGGCAAGACGATGGTGCTCTCGGTACGTTCCAGCGGCAGCGGCATCCGGACTGGACACTTGAGGATACATGGAACAGTTGTGAGTTGAGTCGCAAGGCGTCTGCGCTGACAGGTACAGCAGGCCAGGAACCTCCTCCCCCGCAACAAGGTGCTGGCCTCCGTCGAGCTAGAGCTGGCCACCGTCTGGGCCTTTCCAGGTGCGTACTCGGCATTGTATTCAGACTTAACTTGCCAATCTTGGAAACCGATACATTTATTTCTGCAGGCCAACAGAGGCCTCGTGGTTAGTCTAGTCAAGTAGTCTTTGGTTTTACGAAGTCTGGTGCAGCCCTGTCTAACTAAACACCCACTGTCGAGACGAGTGGGATGACGTTGACATTTCCCCTGACCCGCTGCCAGACCATCAAGTAGTTCACAAATGGGCGGTGCTGTGGTCCCGAGGCGTAGACGGACCCGCGGGCTTCCTCCTCGTCGACATGGCCATCCTCGGCCAGGGCAACGCGCTGAGGCTACCCTTGGCGCCTGTGGAGAGTGCCCTCCTGCTCGAGTGAGTTGTGACCCTGGAGTGAGGAGACACGGGGCAATGCACGCGGGACACGCCAAGAGATAGCAAACCCTCTCATCTGGAACCGATAAAGTTACTTTCTGGAACCCTGCCAGAAATTTACACGCTTGGTTTTTCTTTATTTGTAACTGACGCATTCACTGGTGTCGCAGCCAAACGTACTAGTCTGCCTCAAATTAAAGAACACCAGGTAGCTGATTCACCCCGCGCACGTTTGTAGTTATGCTTACTGCACGCAGTCGTGCGGCCGGGCGGGCTGGGCTTGCCATACGAAAACCGGAGTACGAAAGGGAATCAGCCACTTGGTATAATAAAGGAAGATTAAATGAAGATGTCATCCGAAAATTGTGTCACCGCTCGACGTTTCGGTGTGAAACCCGATAGCGATGTGATCGCAGGTGACCTGGTGACCCCTCCGCTGTCGCCGGGCGGTGCGGCCGGCAACCATCTCCACGTCACTCGCGGACGTCACGCTCTGTCTGACGCGCGCACAGGGTGGGCGTGGGGCGTGGCGTCCCCCCCCCTCCCCCTTCCACCCTCTCGCGCCCTTATCCACACTGCCGGCGCTGTCCTCAGGAACCTCCTGTCGCCGTCGTGGGCGGGTCCGGCTCGGCGAGCCAGGGCGACGTACTTGGTGCGGCTGTACCGGGCGGACGGGCTGCCCCTGCGGCGCCCCGCGAGCCCCGAGCAGCAGAAGGATGACCCAGCACGACCCGAGTCTGCCGGTATGTCCACGCTGGGTCCTGGTTCCGGCCGCTTTCAGGGTGGACCATTTCTGCCGCCCTACCACCCTATCGCCCTCCCCCAATCTCTCTCTCCTCCCC